GCATTTGAAAGTCTTTTGAAGGGTCTCCATCCTGACTGTGAAGCTTTGACAGATCTAGTAGAGACAGGTTTTTTATAGCTTTATGGAAATATCAGGAAAAATGCTAATATTATTTGCTCTGTTTTTGTAAAACAATCCAAGTTTTCTTGGACATTATACGGTTAAACAGAGGCTAATAGTCTAAGATCTATGCATAGTAAATGTTGATTGTGTTGATAATGGGTGTGTGTGAGTGTGAGCCATTGTCAGATTTGTGTTTCAGTTGAGTGTCACAACTTTGATTCCGCCACACTCAAAATTAACAGTGCTTGTCCTCCTGTCTTAGCAGTGAAATGAACCATGTGGGATATTGTTGGATATTATTTGATTGATTTATTGTTGGAATAAATGTCAGCATTTAAAGGTGTTGTGCTATACGTTTAACCAAATCATCTCCCCCCCCCCCAATAAGAACTTCAGGAGTTCAATAACTACCCATGCCTGGCTATTTTTCTACAGTGTAGCAATAAATTAACATGTAGAAATTGATATTACTTGATTTCATACTAGAGATCTTGAATGTATTCATTTATATCCTGCTTTTTATTTATTTACTAAGATAGTTGTATGACTTTTCTCTTTGCTCAAGGTCTCTTACATGCAATAATTAAAACATTACAGATTAATATCGGATAAAACTCCAGGATATTTCCTGCCACCAAAGATGCCTGCTATCCATACCCCACACTGGGAAGCTCCCACACTGGGAAAATGCTGATGCAGACTTATCTGTTGATGTGTAGCCGTGACGTGGTTTGCTAGTAAACAGAAGTTACGTACTTAAAAGATTGTTGTATGATCATAGCTGTAAAATGAAAACTGTTGATATCCAATTATATGTTAACTATTCTAGTACAGAAACAGCGGTATGGATTCTCGCACAGCATAAATGGTAACTTTCCTGTCTCCCCCTTCTCATTGCAATAATTTGTGCCCCCTGAAATTGTGCCCCCATGGATCAGTGGACCTCCTGGAAAATCACGGCGGTCAAAGTGAACGAGGAGTCAGTGAAAAAGTCCCTTTCCCTAAGTGGATATGCCTAGCAAAAGCCAAAAAGATGATTAAGATCCAAGCCAGAATGTTTGCTTTGTGCTGTCAGAATTGCACATATCAAACTTCTCAGCATCTTCATCATTTATTTATTTATTAAACTTGTATTCCTCCCTACCCCACAAGTGGGCTCAGGGTGGCTCACAACATATAAATTAATTAAACCGATAATATAAAAACAATTAAACAGTTCAGACAATCAAAGCAAGATGGCACAAAAACACTAACAGTCCAACATCTTCTATAGCATTTTAAACAGATGGTAGTAGGTAGCCCAATTTATAGCAGTTTTTAAGCAGATGGTGGTAGGTGCCCTGATACACAACAGTGCCCCCATAGGTAGTAAACAGTATCCAAAAGGCACTGAGCAGGTACTGTATTGTGGCTGAACAGTATCACAGAAGTCTGTCCCTAGACTTCAGCTGCATATTTCTAAACATGGCAGTCTTTTAGTTAAGTCAGTGTCTACTTTTAATGCGTGAACATTTTATTAAAATAAAATAGTGGATGCAGGAACTGCCAATAGTACCTGTTACTGTTTTATGTGGGGGAGACGTGTTTCTTTCTCATCTGAACAATAGGAGAATGACTAATTTGGATGAGTGTGAATGGCATGACATTCCCATTGCTTAAGTTTATGTTCTAAAGAGCTTGTACAAAGGCCTTATTAAGGGAAATTCTGAAAAGGAAACTATGTGACGGTGCAATCCTAAGCAGGTTCACACACCCTAAGTATGCAAAGTCAACTCGGTTTAGGATTGCACTGTTAGTCTGTATCAGCAGAAACAAAAAAAATTCTGATGGAATTTTCTTTATTTCAGTAGGAAGTGTCTGCTGTCTTGTATTTAAGAAGACTTCCGATGTGTCGTTAGTCTCAAAATAAAGTTAGGAAAGTTACATCATTGACAAGTGTCAGTAAATGTAATTGTGCAACAGTATAGGCATGAAACCCATGATGACCCATTTGAAATGACAAGGTATAAGGTATGAGGGGGTTGGTGAACACCTAAAGATCATGTGATTTAAGTGTCCAGGAATAGGCACCTATAAGGTTACCATGGCAAGGATCCCTAACCCAATCCTCTTGCTGACCTCTTACATTTCCACTGACCTTGGAGTTGGGGTAGAGCAGCCCCCGTAGTGTTTCTCCTTTTTCTGCTTCCTTCTGTCCTTCCCAACCACCAGCCAACATACCATTATGTGGCCTCCCAGAGGGCCTATTGCGACTTAGGGGCTGCAACAATTATCAAAGGGTGCTTACTCAGAGTACACTACTTTACTTGGGGAGGGGGTTTAAACCCCTCTCCCCGTGTATTTATTTGAACATTTCACTGATGGGGAGTCCCCTGAGTTTGTTAAAAAAATCTGTTTAGCATTTGTGTGACCCTGATCTGGAGATTTAGGTATCTGCAGATGGGGGCCACATGTCACTAATAGTATGTAGATTCTTGCCATAGAAGCTTCCATACGTAAATAGGAAGGGATGCTAAGTCCTTGAGGAACATGTTTGAGGCCAGCAATTTTTTTCATTTATTTAGTCTTACATTTATTGTTTTCATGTCTGCTTATTAGTTTTAAAAAAGAAAAGTTAAAGAAACAATTCATTATATAAAATTCATCCAAGTAACCAAACACTACATATGTACAAACTTATACTATTACATATATTTGTCCTACATCAAACAAAAGTACTTTATGTTTCATAGTGCTAGTTACTATTTTTATAATCCATATAATCACCATTTACATGAATATAGAAAGATAATATTTCTAAATTATATTACACAGTTGTACAAATCCTGTGCCAGTAGTCAAAAAAGGGTTTCCAGCTCATAGAAAAGTAAGGCTTCTTAGCATGACCATATTTTAGCTGTGCCAATTTAATTAGCTTTAATAACTTTGCTACGTGCCATATTTTCAATATCCATAATTTTATATTTAAGTGCTTTGCACTTTTCTGATATTTAGGTCATATTCTGGCTGCTGTTAAGTCATGTATCATGTTCTTATTCATGAGTATAACAGTATCACCTAATATGTCCAATAACAAACATTGTGGGTAATCTGATATTTTATTTCCTGTCATCTGCATTTTTCATCTATAACTTTATGCCAAAAGTTTTTACAACTGGAAATATCCAATACATTTGTCTTAAGTTATCTCCCTTTAACTCATATTTCCAGCAAATATGTTGGTCAGTGTTATAAATCAGTAGTTTCCAACCCTTTTGAGGACAAGCGTCCCTTTTTAAGGTCAAAAAATGTTGCAGACCCCCATGTGATAGTAGTCGTGCTGTTTGTATCCATTGGTTGAAAAAAATACTTAATGACAAAAAGCTACTATGGATTCAGTACACTTTTTAATGAATTTATGTTTTATTAATCACAGTAGCATTTACATTCATTTGAAAAATAGTAATACACATATGCGTGAGTCATATTTAGTCTACAGAAGGTAGGTTTGCTTATTTATTATACTGAATCATTTAATAAAATGGCTGGTGTTGCCCGTTAGGATAAACAGTACAGACCAATGACTTGTCGTAGTTTAAGCAAGCTACATGTTTCTATAAATTCAGAGTTACTGGTATAGCTGCCTGGAATGACCTCTTTGCTAACACAGTTAACTTGTACTGATGGGAATTTGCTTGGATGCTTATTTCAGACCTTTTAGTCTTTGATGGAACAACTGGTGATTTCTTATTTTAACCCTGCTTCTCAGGGTAAGTGGTCTTCCAGAGGAGCTCACAAGTATCCGAATCCAACACAAACAATTAAGTGCACTATACAAAGTGTTCCTTGTAGAGAGAATTCTCAGTTGTGCTGGATCTAGGCATGATCAAGGGATGCCTGGCTGCCCCCCCCCCCCCCCCATGGCCTTAGCATTTGGGTTGCTGTCAAATCTCTGGGCACATGTGTTGAGCTGCAGGTCCTTTCCTGAGCTGATAATACAGTGAGTACTAATCTAGGTGGCATAATTAGAAGTCCAATGGCATCTTAATGAGTAACAAAATTTATTCCAGCATAAGCTTTCTTCACTCAGAGCTCACTTCAGATACAAGAACTGTCTGGGGGCAACCCCTCCCCCCTAGTACTTATTAAGCTACCCTGTGGCGGTCAAGAGGGAAATGCTGTTTATTACGACTGAGAGGTGTGAAATATCACTGATAGATGATTTTATAGAATCCCTCATGCTTATACAAATAGCAGATGATGGTCCAAACCAGTAATCCAGTAATACCATTGACGGCCCATTTCATTATAGTAGTATCTGGATCTGCAGAATCAAGATATTGGTACTGCAACCTCATTTTTAGTGTGTTATCATTAGATTTTATT